ATGTAGAGCCCGAATTTAATAAATGCCCTAAAAACTATACAAAAATACTATAAAAACATTCTTTAAACACTTCTTGACACAGGGACGCCCGCAGAATTATGAATCAGGAGGAGGGGGATAATCAACTTCYAACTATAMATAATAAAGGGACACAAATTATTAGTATTTTYTATACGATAATAATAGGTAGTAGGTACGAAATTATGTTGTATAAATTATACGTTTATACCATCATTGTATTTTGACAGGCAAAAACTAAAATGGACATCGTATAAAACCTTTACATTTTATTAATAGTAAGTAATCAGGCATWTTGACTTTTTGGGGTATTTTTATAACTTAATAATTTAAGCTGATTACTTTGCATAGGCTTTCTCCAACAGAGCACTCCAGAATTCATTTTCAGTTGATGAATGAAGAAATATTAACTTTCCATGATAAGTAGGTAAACGATCGTCAACAACCACATCGACCCATCTGCCATACTGCCAAAATCTGAAATAGTCAAAGAATATAATACGATACATAGGTACATCCAATAAAATTAAAAATATATTTACCTAAAGTGAAATATACCAGCGTATTTATTATCGAATCCTTGATCATTTGGCACTACTTGATAAAATAGTTTTTCATTCAAAGTTAAATTAGCAACTGCAGCTAACAACCAACAGTCACCTATCAAAATTAACAAAGACATAAACATAATTTAGATTATCAATCTAATTAATTATTATTTAAATYAATATTTTTAGGTAATTAAATATCAAAATAAATACCACAAACAGTTTAAAATAATTAAGTTTTATCTATTTACCCAATTCTCCTTGTTGTACATCAAATCTTGAAGCCCCTTCAATAAATAATTGAGGATTGCTTGCGATCTCCTAAGGATGAAAATTCTTAATGTTATTTAATTAAGTAGATACCTATATAAAATAAATGTAAAGAGGCCTGCTCATGTGTCGTGGTTTTTATTAAGGGGCAATATTTAGGCAATATACAATTTCGTTGCCGTCATCCATGACATTTGTGTTAGTTGTCGATGATGATTAGTGTGAGTGTAATGATATGCAGGTAACGGGCTTAGGGCTATAATAACGCACTCGTTGCTAGCGTGCACATAACAACGGCACCACCGACCAAAAATATGATGTTTTGTTCAAAACACGCTTTATAGGAAAAACTCTCACGCATCGTAGAGTAGTCTGATTTGATATATAATTTTTTTTTWGTTTTATTTTTCTATAGGRCCCATTGTACTTCGGTTTTTAATATTGATTGCTTGAAAAAAGTAAAAACTTGATAAAAAYAACAAAAGCTTGTGAAAATTGGCCAGATTTAAAACCATATTAGGTATATGGTTTAGAAATCGATATTTTACAATCGAAGTCCTATACGCCCTGTAATAAGTGTTAATTTCTCCAAAAAAAAATATATATATCAAAATCGGATAATAATTCGATGATAWWATRWKATGTAATATAAAATATAATATAAAATGATAATCACTCTACTAGAAACGAGAGTTTTTCTTGTAAAATATGTTTTTGAGAAAAAATTATAAGTCTCTTATTAATACAAATTATTTGAAATTTATACTCACGCCTGGT